GTTCAGCATGTATAGCTTACTCTGGGACTGGGAGCCAGGGCCCTTCTGTACACCTCAGGCTGTAATGATGCAGTGAGCAATTTCTCCTGCTGGATACACCAGAACACCCACCATCCAGAGGACCTCTTCTCCTGGGAATATTGGGAATAGTGGTAACTGGGGTGCACTGATTTGAGCTTGGGTTTGCCCTTCTCCTGGCAGGGAGTGGGAAGAGGCTGGTGGCCAGGTCAGACACAAGTTGGCCTCCTGCTCAGCACCACCCAGGGCCATGGAGAGAGCATTGGACCCCAGAGAAAGGCAGGACCATGCTGGGTGGAGAAGGACTGGCTCTGGGCTTGCCTCAGGAACAAGAACATCACTAGGAGAGGCCAAAGCTTTCCTACTCACTGAGCAGCCTTGGTGCTGAAGTGTAGCTTGCAGCACAGTGTCTCAGGTTTTCCTTGCACTGTAAGAATACTTGAAGGCTTCAGCCAAAGCCAGTCAGTATCCTAAAGGTAGCACAGTCTCAACAGACAGCAGCTGAGGAAGGAGAGACGGTTGTCTTCCACTCACCTGGGGACAGGAAGGAGCCAAAAGGTTGAGATTATTTAGCACCAATTGCCTAGGAGTACTAGGCACATCTTGGGGAACTAACCACAGGTCTTCATCTGTAAGGGCTCTGAGTAGGCATAGACCCCCACTGACAAGCTTTCCTTTTGCTCCACAGTCACCATCTGGGTTCCCCTCTGTCCCGGGGACATGCACATTGGAAGGTGTGTGCAGTGGAGCAATACCAGGTGCTGGAATTACCAGTCCTCCTCCCGCTCTGGCCAGCCTGTAATTAAGACACACACATAATGAGTTTTGGCAAGGTTTGGGTGCAGCCTGTCTGTGAATTCCTTGGTGACACCATAGTTAGACTCCCCTCCCCTTCCTCCTCACTTGGAGGTGATCCACATATAGCAGGGAGTGTCAGGGAGCACCGGCATTCCCAGCTTGCTCTCTGGGACTCTTTGAAACATCCAGCTTGCTGTCTCTGGGACCATGAAGGTCTGGATCCTTCTCATCGAAGCAGGAATAACCTTGGGCTGCATATCTGGCAGTGAGTAAAAGAGTTTTGCTTCGGAAGAGGCTAAAACAACTCGTGCATCTGATGGGGAAGGGGCTAACGATGGGTTGAAAGTACCTAGTGCTGAGGACACCGCCATAAGCTGGGAGCTCAGAGGCACTGGGACAACTGGTGAGGCTGGATCCAGCAGAGCATAACAGAGGAAAGGGTGAGGGGTGTTTCTCGTGTTGAAGGGCTTCCTTGCACTATGGAGGGCTCAGTTGGTGAAGGGAGCGGTTTATCCTTCTCTCCAACAAGCTGAGACCTCCCTTGGGTTTCATCTGTGGCTGCTGCCTGACGCATCCCGATGTGCTTTCATCATACAAACCCACTTTCCTCTGGCTTCTCCATGCTCTGGGCTCTTCCTGTGCTGGAGGAAGGCCATGGGAAATATTTGTCTGATACCTTATCCGTAATCCCCCTTTTTGAGGGAGAGGAACAGCAGAGCTCAGCCATGTGCCAATCAGATGATGGCAATGGAAATGCAATGTGAACTTGGGTGTTTTGCTCTTCACAAGCACCAGATGAAGAAACCAGTCCCATTCACCCATGCAGAGCCCAACCCAGCTGCAGTTGTTCACCTGGGACTGGGCACTGGCTGTCTGGACAGCTGGCACAACTCCAGGATTAAGACATTGGAGTGCACTGGGGCTTCCAACATGAGAGAGGTGCAAAGCTGGGTTCATCAGGAACCAGGTCTCAGATTAGGCAGGCAAGAAACCCCTGAGACTGGGAAGTGCTCTGGGCTCCCATGTACAAACTAAGAGACAATACCAAAGCTGGAAACGTGTCAGTTTAGGACCTCAGCAAATGGCGTTCCATCAGCCATATTGTTGTCTGGACATATCCGCTGCTCTGCTTGACTGCCTTGTGCTGCATAAAGCCTTCCTGTGCCGTATGCTTTCTTAGTATGGTCTAACTGGATGAGAGAACATAGGGTTGAAATGCATGGCTCAGTGCAAACTTTGAGATGCAGCATCTGTGAATGATGTTTGCATCCAAGCTGTGATCTCAGTCTGCCAGGGCACCTCCAAAACTGCTGGGAGGCTGCGAAGCTGAGCTGCTTCAGCAGTTTTGAACCTCCTGGGTCCATAGTCTGGTATCTTACTGGGTAGGCTTGATGGCACCGGAAGGTGGATTTAGTAGAGTTTGGTCATCCCAACAATCACTCAGAGGTGGCAAGAGAGTGCAGAGGTCTTGTGTATGTTGCAGGGCGCTATGCTCCCATCATGCCTGGGTGTGCCAGGAGCTGCATGTGTTTCACTTGAAACACCAGCTTTATGAGATGGGGCAGAAGGACAAGCACAGGCCTGGGTATCTGGGGCATTAGGGCATCAGGGATGGACATGATGGAGACTTGAGCTCAGGACTCTGTTAAGGTTGTTGTGAGGGGAGACAGGCCTGGAGACATGATAAGGAATAGCCCCATCTGTGTCACAGATAATGCAACGAGGAGTGGTTTTGGGGCATCAGATTTTGGCTCTGGGTTTACAAAGGAGTCTGCACATGACTAGCTGCCTTCAGCACTGCCATGCTCTTGCATAACATGTGAACTGTGATCTATTTGAAAGAAGAGAGTTTCATCATCATCCTGCCCTTGCCGGCAGGTTGTATCTGATATTTCAGAGGCAGACGACTCATCTCACGGTTATTGGTGAGGAATTTTGCAAGGCCAGGGCACAGGAGGAGCTGCTTCTGCTATTATCCAGCCATTGGATTGCCCTGAAGGCATGAGGATTTGCCATGTTTTAGCCTTGTTTAATGCAAGTACAGAAGTTATTCTTGCTTGAAAGAATAACTGGGGTACACTGGAACAAGGATTGACTGGCTGGGCAGGGAAGGAGGACCTGGTGGACAGCAAGTCAAACGAGAAATTGTCAAACCACAGCAAGTCCAGCAGTAGCTAAGATGGTCAGGGGGCTGGAGCCCCTGAGGTATGAGGAGAAGCTAATGGCGCTTGACTTTTTTAGCCTGGAGGAGAGACAGCCAAGGGGGCATCTAATGTCATTGCCCACTCCCTAATGAGGGTTAGAGAGAAGATAGAGAGGCTCTTCTCAGAAGCGCACAGTGAAAGAAGAGGCAATGGACAAAACTTGCAACAAGGGAAATTCCAATTGGACATAAGCAAAAAGAAATCTTCCCCATGAGAGTGGTACAGCTCTGGGGCAAGGGCAGAGAGATGGAGGGAATTCCATCCTTGGAGATAGTCAAAATTCACCTGGCTGAAGCTCTAAGCTACCTGATCTAATTGGCTCCACTTTGAGTGGGGGTGTTGGAGCAGGGACCTCCATAGGTCTCGATGTACTCGATTCTGCCTGTGATCCCCTGGAGCCTAGACTTCTCCAGTTACAGCAGCAACCCATGTCCAGGCTGGGAAGCAACTCTGCTCACAGCCTCCTTAAGCCCGTGGTGTTTGTGGGGTTGGGGGAGGGGGGGAGGCAAAATGCTATTGTTCCAGCTTTGTTGCGTCCTCTCTGGGCCAGTGTGGATTGGGAACCACAAAATTACTCAGCAAAGCATTACAGTCCCAGCTGCCATCTGGGTTGATAATGGGCCAGCGCACACTCAAAGAAAAGAGAGCGTGGCTGGGAAGCTGGGCGGCTTCTCTGGTTGTGGCCTGTCCCTAGGACACATTTCAGACCAGAGCTATCAGAGACATCACCCTATGCCTGATAGGTCCTGTGATGGACCTAGCTGAGCTGTAACACTTCCACCATGTAGCAACTTCCCTTATCCTGAGTTAGGCAGGTTGGTGGTGGGAGATTTTGCCTGATCATCTCATAGACAACCTGGACTCATGGTTATATGTGGTTCAGAGGGATCTGGCAGACGTCAGGAATCTGTAACTAGATATTTGGGAAGTTCAGACCATCAATGGCTCTTTTGTTGAAAGTTAATTTGTCCTTAAAGTGGGCCCTCTTAGAGGCAGATTTGATTTCTTTGGTCTGTGTTTCTGTGGTGCGCAGCGCAGTGGGGTCTTGAGTCAGGCCTGAGACTCGTGGATGCTGTTCTGACACAAACCATAACTCATTTCCATGTGTAAAGCAAATCTGAGAGCCTCCAGGAAGGCTCTGTCATGTCTCAGAAATTTCCCCACACCTTGGTGAATGGAACCATTGAGGATATGGTCCATGTTTTCTAATTCGAAACTTTTGGTGGAAATGAAAATGAGTTTGTTCTTAGCCAAAAACTATGTTCGAGGAGGGATGGATTTGGCTGAAGAGGTAAAAATGAAAAATAAATATTTGTCTGGCTTTTTGTAGTCAAAAATATATTCTCACTGAATAAGCCAAATACAGACTGTCACATCTTACTGGGGGCCATTCTGAGGATTTGGTTGCTGAAATTGCATTTTGTCTTGCCTTGCCCTACCTTATTTAGAGAGAGCATCCCCACACAGAGAGCACATAGCCGGGACTGCTGGGAGAAGCTGTCGGTACCCGCTGAGGTCTCATTTCTGGTGGGAAAAGGCCTGCACAGGGGGCAGAATGCCAGGGTCTGGTCAGGGGATAAGTGATTGGTCAAAGGACAGGGCAGGAGGACGATCTTAGCTGCCATCATCCACATTCACCAGCCTGGCTGTGACGTAACTCCCAGGCAGCAGCATTAGGTATTTGCCTATGCAAATTTGCATATGCAAATGCACATGCATTTGCATACAGGTGAGTGCAGTCAGTGCGCACAGTGCAGCTGTCTGTGCTGAGCACCGTTGGTCGTGTCCTTTTGCTCTGACCACCATCCTTCAGCTGCAGCATTGCCAGCTTTCCCATCAGCAGTACCCAAAAGCTCTAGCAATGTCTCTAACTTGACCATCAAAAGTGGCAAAGAGAAGTGTGTGACCTCCCTGTAGCTGCCTTGCCATAATTAGGTGCTTGTCTGAATCACTGGCTGTGCAAAGGTAGAGCAAGCACCCTCCCGCAGTTGTTCCCCATGCCCTGCTTAGCCTTGCCTTATTGCGGTTGAGGCCAGGCAGGAAATGGGTCAGTGCTGAGCTTGCTCCTCCAAGGACTCTGCAAGGCTCCCAGTGTAAGCTGAGTCATTGCACATCCCAGTATCGGTGCTTTGCTGGGACTTGCTCTGGCAGCACATGCCCTAGGACCAGCAATCTCAGCAGTGACTTAAGTGTGGGCAGGTCCCACTTTGCACAATCCCTCTGGGACTGCTGCTGGAAAATGAGCCTAGATGCATGATTCAGACTGAGTTATTCTGACTTCTGTTTTGGGATCGAGTGGGATACGATCTTAGGGACAGGGATCCCAGCTGCCAACCCCATCAGAGTCCCAGACATCGCTGTTCTGCTCCATGGACGCTAGTGAGGCCAGGGTGCCTGGGTAACATGAGCAGCCAGGAACAGCATGCACCCCACAAATCGTTTGATGCCCATCTGCTCTGCAACCCTTTCCACTTCTCCCTGAACAAGCAGTAGCAAAAGTGGGAATAAAGTAGGACCAGTGGCATATTACCTCCAGGACCATCTCAAACAGCCCCTCCCTGCTAATGACCCTTTGACAGCAAGGCAAGAGGAATCAGCAGTGTGCCTTTTCAGCTAGGCCAACAACATCCTGGGCTATATTAGCAGCAGTGCAGCCAGCTGGCCAAGGGAGAGGGTTCTTCTTCTCTAATGAGCACTTGTGAGACCATATCTGGAGTGCTGTGTCCAGTTTGGGGCTCTCCAGTACAAGAAAAACATGGACACATTGGAATGAGTCCAGCAGAGACCACTAAGATGGCCAGGGGGTGGGGTGTGTGATGTATGAGAGACTGAGAGAGCTGGGTTTGTTCAGCTTGGAAGAGAGGAGGCAAAGGGGAGACCTTATTGCTGCGTACAAGTATCTAATGGAAAAGTGTAGAGAAAATGGAGCCAGACTTTTGGACATGCACAGTGGCAGGATAAGAGACAATGGACACAAACTGCAACAGGGGAAAGACCACTGAGATGATAGGAGATGGTCAATTACTAGAACAGGGCCCAGAAAGTATGTGGGTTCTCCATCCTTGGAGCAGGAGGTTGAACCTGTGACCCTAGACATTCCTTCCCACCTCAAGGATTGTGCAGCTCTAAAAAGCACAAATAATTCAGGTAAAGCATGAGATTACAGAACTGGCAACACAGGGACAGAGAGAAACCACTGAAGCACGACACTTGGAGTTCTGACCCCAGCTCTCCCCAGCTGCTGTATCAGGATATCTCCTATCTCATTCCTTTTGTCAGGAATTGCTCTGGAGCCTAAATTAACTGATGGGTAGCATGGAAGCAAAGATACTTTCCTAAGCACATCCTCTCCTGGCTGTCTCTGAATACAAACCAAGCATCTAGTCTCAGCTTGGCCCACTACAGCTTCTCTTTGCCTGACAGTAGATGTCCATTACCCTTCTGAGACATGGTACTTGTATTATTCAAAGCACAGCTTGAGTTGCTGGATTATTTTTAACTTTATCCCCATGTGTAATAAATCACATACTGTATGACGCATGTGTCATATAAATAGCTCATGAAAGATTTCCCAGTTTTCCCAAGATTGCAGAAAGACTGCCAGTTGGGTTGCAAATAAAGGTGTCTGGAATGTGGCACTCCTCCTCCATCCCAGAGACTGCTGGACCCTGGGGGACTCCTGTTCCTGCTAAGCCAGGCATTAAAGGGTGGATCAGAAAAAAAACAGTTAATGGGGGGGAGCAAAAAATGTGTTTCCTTGTGTGAAGTGGCCTGTGAAGGTCTGTGACACAGCGGATGTCTGCGGCTGAAGATGAGTGACCCACATGGAAGTGTGGCACAAGGATGGCTGTGAGGAGTCAACTGCTCACCCCCAAAATGCCACCCCTAAATGCTGACAAAGTTCAGTCAGAGCCAAGGTATCCCAAATAGCCCCAAGGTAGGAGCTTGGTCCTTTTGTCTCTTCCAGGAAGGCATCAAAGAGTGAATAGTGCCTGGTCACTGCCCAAGCAGCGTGGGCAGGACTGAGCGGGATGAGAACAGGACTGAGTGGGGTGAGATCGAGCTCCAGGCGTTCGTTGCTGCTGTTGTAGTGTCCAAAGTGTGCTATGGTTCAGGAAATGTGGAACCAGTCCAATACACAAACTAGATATCCCACCAGTCACATCAACAGCAGTGATGCCTTCTCCTCCCATTCCCTGCAGCTACATGGCCAGAGGGGGAGATGACCCCTAAGCATCCCAGCTCAGCTGTCGGTCTCCACCGACCACCAGACCTTTAGAGAGAACTTGCACTATATGTGATACCCCCACACACGGGGACCGCAGTGCTGATGCTGGCTGGGCACAGGAGGCAGTCCAAAAACCCAGGAAAGACCATCCCACATGAGTTCCTGTACACCCCCTTTCAGGGGCTCCAGGCCTGGCTGAGCTGGAGCACCTTGTCTCAGTCCCAGACACCCTCACCGTGGCCTTGGTCACAGCTGTTCCCTGCTTCATGCTCTGAGGCAGGAGGACCCAGACCTGCTGGGGCAGCTTGGGCAGTGACTACCTGAGGAAGAGAAGCTCCCAGGTCATCAGCTGGATGGGACAGGACTGTTGGTCCATCTTGCAAACCATGGTGTTGTTTCTCTCTCCCCAAGGTCTGTACACAGCCCCCGACTCCTGCAAGGGACGCTGTGAGGAGCCATACAATGAGGAGGACGAGTGCCACTGCAACGCCAAGTGTGAGAGATATCACAACTGCTGTGAGGATTATTATACATACTGCAGCCCAGGTGAGCATTTCTAGGAGAGGTGGGGGCTCTGCTAGGGGCATCTGTTGGCAAATCCGCTGCTCAACCGTACCTATGACTGTCACTGCTGATGGGGACTGTGGGGCTGCCGGAACCCAGCTTTGGGGTATGAAGGGGCTAGTTACAAGTGCAAACCTGCCTGTCCTGCCATGTGGGTGTATGTTCAAACACACACTTGCCCACGCCGCTATGCATAAGTGCATGTGTGCATACATGCATATCTGCCTGGGTTGTCATGCATAAGCGTGTGCACAGATACGCTTGCATGTGCTGTTGTGCATGGGTGGGTGCACAAACACACCTTTGCGTGTGCTGTTGTGCATGGGTGGGTGCACAAACACACCTGAATATGTAAATGCAGCCTGCACCTACTAATGAACAGCCCAGAGACACAAGCGGGCTCTTCCATGCGTAGCTGCTTTTCAGCAAAAGTCCTGGGCCAGCCCCCTCCCCAGCCCATGTCTCTATCACCGTGACTTCTTTCCTCTCCTCTCTTCTGGGTCCATGTAGGTGGAGAATGGGCCGAAGAGGCAGAGCACACATACACCAGTGGTGAGTAGCTATGTTTCTGATTGAGGGCAATAAATAACTACCCACATTTCACCCTGCCTGTCTCTGGGCTGCTCGTTCCTCTGTGAACCGCAGCTCTCCTGGATTTGATAGCATCTGGACATCACACATCTGTTTCTGGCTATAAGCACACTGATATCACTGTTTCCATTCACTCAAAGCCACCGTGTGCCAAAGCCATACGGCGTAGCAAGAGCCCAAACGTGACTTGCCTGGTTGCTAGTAGCATTATCTCATTTCACCAGACCCAGTGGCAACGCAGCATCCAGCCACATAGCCAGGTACTTCAGCCAGAGGCAGAAATAAACTGGCGCTTGCATCCACTAGTCACTGTGCAGCTAAACCATGGGAAATCGAGAGGCAGCTAATCCCGTATGTCACATGTGGAAGATGGAGACTGATCCTGCCTATGTCACCCCATCTTTTCCTGAAGGGGTTCAATGGCTGTAACCCTATGGCCAGCTCTAGCCCCCAAGGCCTGGTAGGGAGTCTGTAATCCCTGCAGGTCTGCTCTTGGCTCCCAGCACACTCACTCAGCACAGTCAATGCCAGTCTGCCTCCAGAAAGGCTCAGAAATCCAGCAGGGCTGCACAGGGAGCACAGGGGCATGGGGTCCAAATGGCCTGGGCCAGAGACTCCCATCCTGACCCTCATGGGCAAGATGCCGTGGCCAACTTCCATCCCAGCCCAGCCTCTCCTGGGAGGCTGGGTGGTGGCAGCTGGGACCCCCAGCCCTCTGGCCTCCAGCTGCCACCACTCCCTGCGCCCTTAACCCTCCTGCATGTCACCCTGAGTGCTCAGATTTCACAATGTCCTGGGACTCTGCCTCGCTAGCGCCTCACTGAATTTTTTCAGAGTGGCTGGAGCTTGCAGCACCACCCTCATTTCTCTATTAGTGGGTAGCGTTCAGCCCAAGGGCACTGGGAGCTCCTGCCTGCTTACCCCCGCCCACTGTCTCTCCCTGCAGAGGGTTTCTCCAGAAGTCAGGATGCCATCACAGATGGGGACCTCCTGCATATCTCAGAGCAGCTTTACGAGGCAGATCACAACAAAGCTCAGCCGACTGACATCACCATTAACCCGCAGCATCGGGTCTCCTCAGACCAGACAGGTGACCAGGAAGACCACTCTCCTGAGCCGTGAGTGTGACAAACATTAGCATTGCTACAGGCATCCTCACAGGGTGTTTGTGAGCAAGGAGCCAGGACAGCAGAGACCCATCTGGCCAGTCAGGGTACAGGGTTGGTTTCCAAGGGGAACCTCTGCTCCCCACTGACTGCAGGGTGACTTTCTCCCAGGCTCTACAAATACGTCAATGAGAAGCTCTTCTCCAAACCCACCTATGCTAGCTTCATTAAACTGCTGGACAATTACCAGAGAGCAACTGGCAGGGAGGAGGACGTCACAGCAGAGGAGCTGAAGGAACAGGACAACTTCCTCAAGGAGGTGATGAAAACTGAGCTCATGAAGAAGCTCTTCACTTTCCTCCACAAAAAAAGTGAGTGTGGAGCAAGCTGGTAGGATAGGGCCAACCAGAGTAGGACAAGGGGTTGGCTAGTCACCAGCACCCCTGAGCAGCCACTTTCTGCCCAGGCTCTGCAGCAGGCCAATATCCACTGGTGGGGACTGCTCTCCCTGCTGTATTTAGGATATTCCTTATTTCACAGCCCCAGGGATGCACTCTGCAGAGAAGTCACATCAGTCCCCAAAAGGCAATGCGCCCCTGAAGCTGAGTGGGAAATGATCTGGGAGGAGGCGGGCTGGAAGGGTGCAGGAGCAGGCTCTCCGGGCCTGCCCACATATGTGGCAAATTGAATAGGGCAGCACAGAATTGCTCCTGAGGGAGAGGACCTGGCTGGTGGGGGCTGGGGTTAGGGCTGGGGGGTTCTGGCTTTGCCTTCCCAAGAGCTTCCATACTGCCACGCTTGGTCCCATCAGCAGCCAACTCCCTTCTCCCTGCTTTATGACTCTCCACGCTGCTTTGTCTCCAGACCGCTACAGCTCTGAGCAGGAATTTGTCACCGATTTGAAGGAGATGTGGTTCGGCCTCTACTCCAGAGGCAACGGCGAGCAGGACTCCAGTGGCTTTGAGCATGTCTTCTCAGGTAGAGCCCAAGTCTGAGCGCCTCCTAATGGGACAGGGAGCAAACAATTGCCTGAATGCAACCCTGTGCAACGCACTCTAGATGACCCTGCCTGAGCAGGGGGGTTGGACTAGATGGTCTCCAGAGGTCCCTTCCAACCTTGGCAATTCTGTGATTCTGTGAAACGGCAGTGCAGCTCCATGCTGTGGAGATGCCTCTGCAAGGGGATGGGCAGATCCCAACTGGGTGCCTTGCTCTGTGCTTGGCTGAACCAGAGAGCTGCTGATCAGCAGTGGCTGATCAGAGCACAAGCACTGCCTGAGGTGCCTGTCTGGGTCTGGGGGGACGTGGCAGACCCATCTGAGCATACCCTGGTTTGGGAAGGATGAAGGGAGGTATCCAGGGCCTCTTCCACATCAACAAGTAGGGATGGAAAGTCCCAGGCTCACTCCATGGTCTCATTTCCTAATCAGGGGAAGTAAAAAAAGGGAAAGTGACTGGATTTCACAACTGGATTCGCTTCTACCTTCTCGAAAAGCAGGGTCTCATCGACTACTTCAGCCACAGCTATGATGGGCCGGTAAGTGCTCCCACTAAGCTACACAGCCAGCAGCGCTGCACAAGCCATCAGCCAACTTGGCTTGTCCAGGTGGAGTTGATGCTGGTCTATCAGCCGGACCCCAAATGGGGCAAATCAGAAATCCCTACAGTACATGTCCTGAGATGTGTAGGGTCAGAGATGGTCACCCTGCCGTGTCTTCTTCGCTTTCATATGTGGACCTGGAGATGGAAGGAGGATGGGAAGGTACAGAAAAAATGATTGCAGTGGGCAAATGAGGCTTCCAAAACACAAGCGAGAGCAGATTTGACTTTGGGGCTTGGGGATGTACCCTGACAGCCACTGTACAACTATGCTGTACCCTAATGTTACTACTCCTTACTGACTGTATGGCTGCGGCTAATCTGGGGGATCCCAGCTCTGTCACAGCCCCACTCTCCAGAGCCCACATCTGCAGAGGCAGAGGTCTCACTGCTTTCATGCCAGCACTTTGCTTGCTTTGCAGGTGCCCTGGCTCTGTCTGGAAGCCCTTCAGACCAGCTGAAAGGTGCTCCTGACCTGTCTCCCTGAGGGGGGTATCCCTGGAGAGGGTATGAGGATGCCCCACTTCATATGCAGATGGGCTTTGCTTGAATTTGCTGCTCTGACAAGCAAACCAAGGAGCCTGATCCCCCGATCCTTCTTTCTTCTACTCTCTAGTGGAGCACCTATCCTGACGTGCTGGGGATGCAGTTCAACTGGGATGGGTTTTACAAAGAGGTGGGCTCTGCATTCATTGGCTGCAGCCCTGAGTTCGAGTTTGGCCTGTACACATTGTGCTTCATTGCTCGACCTGGAAGGGCGTAAGTACCAAACCTGTCTGGGTCCATCCTTCTGTGTCCTCTGGCCAAAGGGGCAGCAATGCCCTTCTGCTCCCCGGTGCCTGAAAAGGGGATTCCCACAGCATGGCTGGAGGATCGCAGGGTTAGGAGCTGAGCTCCTGGTCACAGCAAGCTAAGTTAGCCTCTGGTGCCTGAAGACACCCTCAGCTCTGCCAAGCCTCTTTAGGGCACAGGTCTAAGCAGAGTAACGGGTCAGCACAGGCATCACATATGGGCAGGGTAGGGGGTGGAGCCGTGCTGGCCTGTGGAAACTGAGAGCAAAGCAGGGAGTAGGGGGATGCAATTGCTGGATGAGGGGCTCAGGGATGGAGCAGGCTATAGCGCAGGCTGCATCCCCACAGATGTCACCTGAGCCTGGGCGGCCACAGCCTGAGCATCCAGACCTACACCTGGACCAAGTCCACCTACGGCAATGGCAAGAAGTACATCGCCACTGCCTACGTGATCTCATCCTGAGGCTACCTGCGCCCTGGCTGGGAGAAATGGGGATGGCTTCAGCCACACAGCACACCACCACTTTGGGGCATGGGGTACCCATTGCCATAGGCCCTCTGCCCTGGGAAGGACTGGTCCTGCCATGGAAGGCAGATGGCCACGCTGCAGAACCGGTGCAGTATGTGTGTGAGGCACTGGAGGGAGCTGGCCAAGACAGCTGTGGCCATGCCCAGAGTGGCTAATGTGGACACAGAAGAAGCAGAGAGGCAATGGTCTCAGCACCCCTCATTACCATCTAGTGTTGCATTCCCCAGCCACAGCAGAAGAGCAGTGGAAAGTGAGGAGCTTTTGATGGAAAGTAGCACTCCTAAGCTAAATAAATGTTGACTCTGGAAGGAGATGCATTCTTTTCCTTGGTGTTAGAGTCAGTGCTCATCATGCAGCCTCATCTCTGCCCCAGTGGAGATGCCATATGCATTACCAGTTTTGCAAGGCAAAAGGCTCCCCTTCCCCACCACTTCTGTGCCACGGACAGGACAGGTACTGGCACCAGCACTGCCCAGCCACTGGCTCAGAGTAGGTATTGGGACCTCCTGGGTATTTCTAGGCCCATTTCCAGCCCATGGGGTGCAGCACAACGTGCTACATGCCCTCTGCCTTCTCTCCACAGCCTCCAGCCACAGACCTCCCTGGCAGGGTCGATGTACCTGGGGAAGAGAGCAAAGCTTGTGCCTTATTTCCTTGGCCAGCCTGCAGCGTTGATTCCCCCACGGAGCCCTGCCCAGGGGTCTGAGACCATCAACACTCCCAAGGATGGGAGACTGGGAGGCAGGGAGCTGCAACCTGTGGTGCTGGCGCTTGCATCTCATTGCAGCACTGGCAGCCTGGCCGGATGGGGAGGGCACCTCACCTGGTCTCTGTGCTGCAGCAGCCCCAGGGATGCTCTCCCCATCTCAGCCTCCCAGCTGCAAATTGCCTGGGGAAACCCCATCCTCCCAATCTGCTGGTCTCACTCATTTTGCATCCCATCGGTGTTTGCCCTACGCCTTACAAATAAGAAGCACGTTCCTTTCATGCCCCAGAACAGATTATAGACTGTGGTACCCTAGGGATGGGCACGACCTATACCCCAACACAGCATGTTAGAGAGCTGTGTCTGGGCGGCCGTTTGCATCCCCCCCCACACCCTTCCTTTTTTGGTGGCCATGAGCATCCCAAGCCCTTGTCAAGGGGGGCAGTGATGCACCCCCCCATCCTCCGCCAAAAGCAAGCACGCCCAC